CTACTATCCGTGAACAGTTGCAGGTGATTTGATATTTCTCTTCTGCTTTTGTTGTAGTTCTGCTTTTGTTGTAGTTCTAATTTCATTGATCTTTTGCATTAGTTTTTTAAACTTTTGCATTTTTATATACATCTTCGCCCTTAAAGTTGATTTTACACGAACTATTAGGTCTCCACCTTGATCTTTTTCTGTTCTCTTAGGCTTTGTTCACTTGAATGGATTTGGGGGAGAGTGATTGAATGGATTTGAGAGATTTGAAAATAAATTTTTTTGTTGTTTATTTGAGTGGATTTGGAGGTAGGTGAGAGTGAATTTGGAAGTAAATTTTTTTAATCTGTCACATCAATCAAATACTATACTAATTCTCACAAATGTTGCTTACAAATTCACTCTCACTTACCTCTAAATTCACTCAAATAAACAACAAAAAAATTTATCTTCAAATCCTCTCAAATCTATTCAATTACTCTTCTCCAAATCCATTCAAGAGAACAAAGAGTTAGAAATGAGTATAAAATCATTCACATGTCTTCGCCGGCTAACTTAAGCTTTTGAGGTATCTGTTTTGGCACACATTGGTATTAGAGCCTCTATTAAAAAATGGTCTAGAGTACGATCCTTGCCGCCTCTCCTTCTGTTAATACATATTACTATTTATGTGTGTTTATCCAATTACATGCTTTTGTGAATGTTCATAACAATTATTTTGTTTGTTGTGATTATTGATGTTTCATGTCTTGATTCTTTTACAGTTGTTGATTAATTTGCTCCATAGTATCAATCTGGATAGTCGCATGGATCATTAGACCTTTAAAATGGGGATAACCTGATGATTGTACATATAAGAAGTGTATCAAATGAACTCTCTTATTATAACTTCAGAAAAAATGGGTACTATAATATAAACCATTTGATGATATTTGCAATCGCAAATATTAGAAAAGTGTGCATAGTTCTCAAATAATAAGTGCGTAGAGATAATTAAGCTCTCTTGGATTTGTTTTTTATTTCTATTCTTAAGTATAATCATGAAACTCCGTACTAAAACGAAATATGCAATTAGATAGCAACAGAAGTCAAGGAATCTCTAGTGAAAGATTGCTAGAAAAAGGAGGGAACAATCCGGTGACTTGTTGGGAGGAAGCATGAAACTGCTGAAAATGTGTAACTTAACTGTGGAGGAGTTGTCCTGATGGGAAGACTTTTGCAAGGAAAATCCTGAAATTACCTCAAGTCCCCTTTTGTAACGAGATTATAATTTTAAGCATATTTAAAGCTTTTTCATCATCATCAATGTTCTTCCTCATTGTGAGACAGCTTTGATAACGGTGGTGAATCTGCTTCTGGATTGCAGCTTCACCTTCTATGTAAGATAGATTTGAAGGTCATTGCAGCACAGGGCCGAAATGTGCTACTGTGTCACTACAACATCACAATTTTTCAATAACTGCGTAGATTTGTTTCATAGCTGGGTTAAGGGCTTGATTAAATGCTTCTGTTCTGTGCCTAACAAGTCTGTGGCATGATATAACAACTGTATATTTTAACTCTACTGGTTATTTCAGGATTGGGAGGATGGTTTATGCGAGACTGATGCTGATGGCTCTTTTTTGCATGAGAATTGGAACAAAGATTTGCGACTGTTTGCAGATGGGGAGGATGGTGGACAACAGCTCCTTCAGGTTTATACTTTTAAAATTTTTGATTGTAAATTGATTATAGTATAAATAGACGATCAACCGTTTGTCTTATAGTGACAGTTTTAGGTTAACCCTACTTGTCTAGATGGGCTTGGGATCCTAGAAACTAAGAAACATGGATGCTTTAGAATAGTGGCTGATTCATGTTGTATATGTTTTGGACACACCCATGTCAGACACATCACAAAACACTTGAAATATTTCTTTTTGTATTTAACAGCTTTTTGATTCCTTTTATAAATATTGAGCTTTTATGCCAATGCAGCTTGGAATATCACAATAATTAAAAATCTATCCACGTTAACATGTTTTCACTTTTAAGGCATCAATTCTTGATGTTTGATTTATGTATGTTAATTGTACTGTTTCTATGCTTTATTATACAAAATTTCTCAGATCCAAAACATCATACATATCATATCCATGTCCTGTTTGGTATCATGCTTTCTAACTATAGTAATTGTTAGTATGTTGTATGAATTATTTTCTTATCATTTCATTTTGTTATTGTAGTTGTTTATAATGCGTGCAGAAGCTGAATTACAAGCTATATCTGGTGATAATATTATACCCAGCCTTCAGTGCATAGATTCATTGAAGGCAAGACTGGGTAGCTTATTTGATGGAAAGACTATAAAGTTATCACCAGCCTGTCATGAACCAGTGCCACATCAGCAATCTCGTTATGACATTTTTAAGCCTAGAATAGCTGGTAATCATGTATTTGCAGATGTAAAATACAAAGGTGACTGGATGAGACGTCCCATTTCCAATGATGAAATTGCATGGCTTGCAAAAGTGCTTATTAGGTTGTCTGATTGGTTGAATAAGAATCTTGGACTGAATCAGGCAGAGAGCAGTCAAATAAGCTCGCCAGTCTCTTATGTGGAGTTATCAGCTGATATTGCCCATGTATGTGGACCTTCGGAGGCTCTGAAGGTCTTCTTTTGTACCATTGGTTCTTGGTTTCTCTTTTTCGGTGCCGCATCTTTGGGTTTCATGCGAAAATATGGCCTGAGGGTGAACCTAAGGATTCTGGCATCCAAGAAAGTAGTAATGATTTTTGTTTTGTATGTTGTTTTTGGCATATTGAAGAAATTCGTACGAGCATTCCATAACTCGTATTGAAGATAATAGATGAATATACTAAGTGTATAGAGATGTGAAAAGTACAAAGAATTTTTTTTTTTAATCAAGTTATTGTGCATAAGGTATTTCTGCTTCTGTAATTACGAGTGCTAGTTCGCCATCCTGCTCACGTGCAGTAGTAGAAATAGCTATTGCGAACACTCTGCACTCATTCCCAACATGGTCTAAACTCAGGTCAGCCAGTGAGTAATTTCTGATTTCATATTAGAGCGAAATGAAAAAAATTTAAGTGTATCAATGAGTTAAGGTCTTTCAACATTTTTGTTTATTGGTTATCTGGCACCGACAAATTACGAACTAAAAGTAAAAGTTGAAACATCGATGATTAAGTTGGTGATTTTATACACGGAAGTGTATATAATTCCTTATACCTTATTTTGTTATTATTTCGAATTCTTTTTCCTTTACGTGCGTGCAGCCTTAGTCGTAAACCATCGTGTATGTGCGGCCGTGATTCTGAATTAGGGTTTGTAATGGCAATTTGATGTATTTGAGGTATGTATCTTGATTGTTTAGGGTTTATGTTTTCTTCTTGTTCCTCTTCCACTGGTAGGGTATGTTTGGTTTAGAAAAATAAGTTGATAGGTGAAGAATATAATTGAAAATTTATTTGTTTAGAGTGTTTTGAAAGGTTTACAATTTAATTATTTTGATAAAAAGTAATTTGAATGTTTAGTTGTATAAACTAATTGATCTGATGAAAATTTTGGAAGTTGTATAATTGATTTAATGAAAAAATAAACAGAGATGGAGAAATAAATAAAACAATTAGAATTTATAGTGTTATATTTATTTTATTTTATTTTGAAAAAAAAAACAATTAAGGTTGTTTCTTTATTTTATGTATGATATGAATCTTAGATGGCAATTATAATATTGTCCAACTAACAGCATGCATTAATATTTAATAATTTGATTGGCTATAAATGCATTTGACTTTATCAATGTTTTTCCAAAAACAAAAAGCAACCTCTTCTTACCTTCGACTTTTAAAATCCTATCGACAAAAGGCTTCAATTTTATAAATGAAGTTCATTTGGTTGAGAAAGGATTTAAGTGAATTTTGTTTCATGTTGTGAACTAAGTTTTTATATGAGTTTTGTATATGAATCCTGAACAATAAGAATATATATATAATATAAACAACAACATAAATAACACATTGAATACACGTTTAAAATGTTGATAGTTATTGTATTCAAAATATAAAATTATGTGGGCTATGCTTTTCAATATCTATAACCAAAAAGTCGAATCGAAATATATTTTATATCTCTATTTTTATATATTCTTCTTCATTCTTAATTTTTTAAAGATATGTTTATGTAAATTTACAAGCTTTCAAGATTGCTTTTAAGAGGTACTAAGCTTTTCTTAATCAAATCTCTTTCTTTAATTGATAGTATGATTTTGATAATGGTTGTTGTTTACAATATTTATTAGTAGAATATTGTCACCTTTAACAACAAATAAATACTTCATCTCAAAGTACATGTTTTTATTTACTCATTTCAACTTGTTATTTTCAAAATGTTTTGCACATTATTTTCATTTAATTTTTATCAAATGTAAGATGCATGCTTTATGAATAATATTGAAATAATTGAAAAATGAAAAAGTCATACTAGGCTCTTCTACAAAAAGTATCTAAGTCACTATAATAATTAACTTTATATGATAAGGTATCATTAACTCCTCTAACCACTAACATAAACTCCTAAACATAATAAATTGTGTGTGAAAATAATAGCTTTAATTTTCCATGTCAGCTAATTACAGACAAATCAAAATATCCCATAGTAAGTTTTGGTCCGACACAATACACTAATCCAACCTCAAAAATGTAAATATTCATAACTGATTAAACACAAAGGGTTTCTCCATCATTCCAATTTCTGTTTACCCATAACAAACAACTTTAGTGTTGTAATGCATTATTACGTACTTTTAAAATGGTCGTATCTACTTTAGTCCTTTTATGTGATACTTATTTATTAACCATTTGTTGTTTATTCATTAATGAATGAATAAATGCGAAGTTAAACTCACTATCTAACTATTTATTTATTTATTTATTATTATTATTATTATTATTATAACCAATTTTTGTTTTCAAAACTTATTTTTTGTGCACAGAAATCTTACGAGAATGAACCAACTAACTAGTAGGTGAGATACTATTAGCACTTAAGTGAGAGACTTACAAGAATTCACCAAATGATCAAAACACGTGGCAATTAATTAGCAAAAACCAAATCTTAAAAACCACAAAAACACGGATACGAAGAATCTACTTTCCATTCTCGAAGGAATAACTGTCAGTAACTGGTGGTTGGAGCTTCCCATTTTCTCTGACATATCAATGTCCGATACGAAGGGCAGATACATATAAACACACTCATTCACTCACCGACACTTCAACCTTAACACGCGCTTCCATATTCACCATTGTTTCAACTTTGTTTTCATATATATCACCCCATTTAAAGCCCATGTTTATTCCCTCAACAACACAAAAACATTATCTATTCTGATGGCACCAAGGATCAATGATGCCACACCCAACAGATCACCCATGAACAGAGGTTCATGGACCCCAGAGGAAGACAGAAAGCTTGCCCAATGCATTCAATTTCATGGTGCAAAGAGGTGGAAGACTATTGCAGTTAAATCAGGTTAGAGATTCACAATATACAGTACAAACCAACTACTGCAACTTAGTTACTCAGTTAACTTAAATAGTTGCATGGTTTGGTAGGTTTGAATAGATGTGGGAAGAGTTGCAGGCTGAGATGGCTAAACTATCTGAGACCTAATATCAAGAGGGGAAACATATCAGACGAAGAAGAAGATTTGATTCTTAGGCTTCACAGACTCTTGGGAAACAGGTTTCTAATCATCAAACACTTGTATACTATTGCAAGAAAAGCTGGTTATGTTTTTGTTTCTAAGTCTTTACAGATAAAAGTTTCCAGAAATTTATAAACCATTACTGAGAAGAAAAAATACACGTATAACTTATATATATAATCATGTGTTATTTAATATATACTATAGTCTGTATTTTAAATATCTTATTTATGTATTACATCATATCATACTACTTATAATCTTTACAAAAGTATTTTGTTGATTTCTGCATCAGAAGATGAGTAACTAAATGCAAATCCTCATGAAGATAACAATGAGATTGTGGGCATTTTGGTGTTTTTAGGTGGTCTTTGATAGCTGGTAGGCTTCCAGGACGAACAGACAATGAAATTAAGAATTATTGGAATTCTCATTTGTGCAAAAAAGTGAATCAGAGAGAGGAGAGACCAGAANATACGAAGAATCTACTTTCCATTCTCGAAGGAATAACTGTCAGTAACTGGTGGTTGGAGCTTCCCATTTTCTCTGACATATCAATGTCCGATACGAAGGGCAGATACATATAAACACACTCATTCACTCACCGACACTTCAACCTTAACACGCGCTTCCATATTCACCATTGTTTCAACTTTGTTTTCATATATATCACCCCATTTAAAGCCCATGTTTATTCCCTCAACAACACAAAAACATTATCTATTCTGATGGCACCAAGGATCAATGATGCCACACCCAACAGATCACCCATGAACAGAGGTTCATGGACCCCAGAGGAAGACAGAAAGCTTGCCCAATGCATTCAATTTCATGGTGCAAAGAGGTGGAAGACTATTGCAGTTAAATCAGGTTAGAGATTCACAATATACAGTACAAACCAACTACTGCAACTTAGTTACTCAGTTAACTTAAATAGTTGCATGGTTTGGTAGGTTTGAATAGATGTGGGAAGAGTTGCAGGCTGAGATGGCTAAACTATCTGAGACCTAATATCAAGAGGGGAAACATATCAGACGAAGAAGAAGATTTGATTCTTAGGCTTCACAGACTCTTGGGAAACAGGTTTCTAATCATCAAACACTTGTATACTATTGCAAGAAAAGCTGGTTATGTTTTTGTTTCTAAGTCTTTACAGATAAAAGTTTCCAGAAATTTATAAACCATTACTGAGAAGAAAAAATACACGTATAACTTATATATATAATCATGTGTTATTTAATATATACTATAGTCTGTATTTTAAATATCTTATTTATGTATTACATCATATCATACTACTTATAATCTTTACAAAAGTATTTTGTTGATTTCTGCATCAGAAGATGAGTAACTAAATGCAAATCCTCATGAAGATAACAATGAGATTGTGGGCATTTTGGTGTTTTTAGGTGGTCTTTGATAGCTGGTAGGCTTCCAGGACGAACAGACAATGAAATTAAGAATTATTGGAATTCTCATTTGTGCAAAAAAGTGAATCAGAGAGAGGAGAGACCAGAATCTTCAACAACACATGAAATTGTTGGCCAGAATAAGAATCTTGGGGACAACCTTGCACTGTCAGAGAACGAGGTTGCAACCAACGAAGTTGGTAACTTAGATGTTAGTTTCAACATTGATGAGTTTTTCAACTTCTCTGAGGAATCCTGTGGGTTAGATTGGCTGAACAAGTACTTAGAACTTGACCACATTCCTCAAACCACAGAAAACTCTTAATTAACAGAGTTTTTATTAGAGCATTTCCAATTAACAACTCCATTTAAATTTCTCTTCTTCTTCTTTAATAATATTTACACTTTCTATAAAACCACGTCACATGTTTTCTATTTTAAGCAACTCCATCAACTTCTTTATTATCATTAAGAAATTCACTAATATTTCTAAATATATCTTTCTTCAATTAAATAACATTTTTTGTATTAATAGAATCAGCTGCTGCAACTAATAACTCCCATTTGAAATGGATTATAATAGCTCTTCAATGGATTCAAAAGTTTTAGTAAGTGACAATGACAAATTACAAAAAAATATATTTATTGATAAATTAAAATATTAAATTTATTAACAAATTTCTTTTGTATTTAATAGTATTTTATCGATAATTAACACAAAAATTTATAATATATAATAAAAAACTATATATTATCAATGAATGCAGTCCATTAATTCATAAATAGTATTTTTTAACGAAATATCAACAAATAAAAATCTGTCATAAAACAGTTATCCATAAACTTTACTAACAAATTAACAAATTTGTCGATAAGTAAATTTGGAGATATTTTGATTATTAATAGCATGACACAAAAATATTTCTTAATATATGTGTATATAAAAGCATTTTACACTAATAATATATAGAAGTTAAACTATTAAAGTGAATATATGATGGGATTTTGGTCAGTAACAGATATAAAAATGGAACCAGGATGCAGTTTTCTTTCATCGAATATTTAAATTATTAAAAATAATATGTAATGTGATTGTGGTCCATTTAAATATTTCTATAAATTAGAAAAAAAAAGTATTTATAAACTATTTTTAATTTCTACTTGTAAATGATGATGTGGTCCAACTGATCAAATGCGTTAATAATATTTATTTTATATATACGAAAAAAAAAATCTACTGTCATTTAACTATACATTTTTATTTATAATAGTTGTCTTAAAAGTTATAGATGTTTACATTTTTTAATTAGTTTAGTAAATAATGTATTATAGTACTAAAATTTCATAATAAAATGGCCGTTCAGAAAAAATGATTTAAAAATAGTTAATATTTGTAGACTAAAAATGGTTTGAAGGAAGAATACTGAAGTATGCATAAAATAGTAGAGAGATGATACCTAAAATAGATCACAGTTCAGATTTCCGTGTAACCTCTTATTCGGCTAAAAAATTTCCAAAGCAGAGAACATTTTCTTGTCACATGTGAGTGTATATGTGCATAGTCTGTTCACCACGACTAAGATAATAATAATAATAATAATAATAATAATAATAATAATAATAATAATAATAATAATAATAATAATAATAATAATAATAATAATAATAATAAATATAAAAAAAAGGAATAATAATGACAATAGAATACGTGCGTTTCTATACCCACTCTATAAAAACTAGCTGGGCCATTATGGTTTGTTTCAGATCATACACGGCTTTGTATTTTTTGGTTGGGTTAAATTCTGAATTCTTATCTTTTTTTCTTTTACATAAAAATATTAGATAAAAATACACTACTTTTAACGACAAAATATTTTAAGTTCGATCTTTTTGTCAAATACGTGATATTTTGTTTTCGTAAAAATTATTAATAATTTTTTTAATCTGGGATTTATGTTTGGACAAACACTTTTAGTAAACACTTTTACAAAGTAATTCTTTTGTAAATAAAAATTAATTTATTCAAAAGTCCAAAAAGTATGTAGAATAATTTTTACAAATTAATTTATGCAAACATGAGTAGTCATTTTTTTTTTTGTACGCAAGTGTTTAGAAATAATTTTGTTCAAATAGACTTCTAAAACTTAGATGTTAATATTTTTTTTGTGTGGTGGACATAAGGAGAGAGATTTTAAAGGTTTAAATGATGGATTACTGTCTATGAATGATTTCCATTGCAATATCTCTTTAGGACAGTAATGATGGAGCACGTCTTAAGCATCTGGAAGAAAAAAAGTAATCTCTTTTCATAATTTTGATAAAAAAAATAAATTAATCTAATAACAAATGAAACAATGAGTACAATAAATAACATATTTTAGTAAGATAAACTCTATTATGATTTTGATATATGTTAAAAAGTACATTTTAACTCAATTTTACAAAATCAACTAATATAAAACTTACACCTTTTTCAAATGTCAAATTTCAAAGAAATTTCTGTACATAACATGTGTTTTAATGGTGAAACTTGGTGTAACCTCCGAAGTACTTATCCTTGCATCGATCATAACTCCCTTAGAGGATGATGGAGTAACAGAATTATAATGGAACTCATTGGCCTGTTTAAATTTCTTTTGAACCTGTTTGAATGGGAAAATTTCAATTTCCAATACATCTCGAGAAGCAACATTCTTAATACTTTTACAAAAAAAAACTAGTTACGTTTAACGTAGCTATATTCCAAACATGCACTGTATTGTTTATCAGCAAGAGAAAAATGAAACGAATGTAAGACTCTAGGGTATGAATAGAAGACCCAAATGTGTCAATGTTGGCTCTATGCACATTACATTCATTTTACACTCATGTTTACCAAAATACCTAATTTTCTTATTATTGTGTATGGAGCAGAACTTATTTTAGGTTCATACTTGAGTAATAATCATGAAAAGATAAATTATCAAGACAACTTGAATATCAAATTATAAACTACTGTATCTCCTATCTAAATCATACCAGTATTAGAAAAGAGGCTTAAATAAGAAAAGGAGTTTAAGCTCCCATTTATATTTTCCTTTCCACATTCTCTAATTTTTTTTTACAAAACATTAAATTAAAAAGCCTATCCTCTCTCTCCTCACCAACCCTCCACTTCCCGTGAACCAATCATACCATCAAACATGTACCTAGCTCATAATCAAACATCTATTATAGTTCGACCCAATTAATACATTAAATGAATCAATGCTTTTATACAGGAACAACCCCGTCCATAAGAAACAAAAGGCTGTTGAAGTGCTGCATTATACCATCTATATGACTTCGTCCAAACAAGATTTGTGCAATCAAATTAAACAACTCTTACCAAAATGACTTCTATATTTGCTAAGTTTGAATCTGGCTCAGCTTGTTGAACCATATTGAATGCAAAATCATGTGAAACAGATCATATTTTATTGGTCTAGGATTCCAAAGGAAATGCTTCTGTACCATCTTCACATTATTTTGCATGGTAAGATATTTTCTTATGGGGATGGACAATAAAATTTCCTTCAGCCTGGGAATATCCTTCTCGGCCACCACCACAGAAAAAGCACTCCATTCCAGAACTTCATTAAAAGGAAGGACAAAGTTATCTGCAATGATAACAGGAACACACTCGTAATATATGGCTTCAACGATCCTAGGGCTATTAACTTCAAAGCCCATTGGACATACACAATATTTACTTGATTTCATGTGTTGAATATAAGTCATCCTTTGGGAAACTCTTAGAGGTAAACGCTTGTAGATTTTCATGTCTTCGTCTTTTCCAATGCCCCAATACTTAAGGAGAGTAGGGCGCACTCTACCATGCATGCTTCCAGCAAAGAAAGCAAGGATTGGACGTAGTGATGCTCTATTCCCACCAAGATTTCTCAGAGGTTTTCTTGGTACCCTAATGGTAGTTTCTGGTAGGGAAACATCTCTTCCAGCAACAAAAATTCTTTCAGACAAATCAGCATTACATAGAGCTTTTATGGCGTTTTTTGCTAGCTCCTTGTGTCCAGTTACAGTGTAAGGACCCTGCAAATATCAGTTTTGAAAATACGACATTACACAGTCAATATGATGTTGACCACAAATTAGCTGTCGGCTATGCATGCCACTTTATCCGTGCATAATTTGTTTGAAATCACCAATAACATTCGTGGGTATATGCATATAAAGAGATATCTTTGTAAAACTTCCGGGAACAAAGACATGAGATGCAGACTGTCATGTCCCAAACGTGCATTATTATATGTTTCAAGTAAAAGAAAACTATAAAAAAAAAAAAAGCAGATATATTGTTTTAGTGTAATTGGAATATCTACAAGGGATTTGACCAACTGCAGGAAGAATGCAAAAAAATAGCTGGTTAAGGCATCCAGTAGGAATGTTTGCTTCGATGTTTTTTTCATTTTACTAAAAAGCCATTAAGGAGGAAATGTAGATTAAATTATAAAAAATAGGTGGAAACATTGAGAAAAAAACTGTTCATCAGCCATGTAAACACAGTACAATTGAAATTGGCATGCTATGCACTCGTACTAGCTAAATCTTTCATATCGTAGTTATAATTTTATATATTTATCATGATCACCACCATCTAATATATGCATACATCCTTTTTTTTATCGAAGATACTTGGAAGTTAATTTTGCTAAAGAATTTCATTTTCACTTTTCTATCAAATCAAAGTAAAGGATGAAGACAGAAATATAAGAATTAGAAATACTAATACTCTTGAGTAGCTATCAAGTTAGTAAAATCAAATTATCAGAATCTATCAATCCAACTGAAAACAGATACAATCCCCATACCCAGTCATGGCAAGCAACCAGGAAATGGTCCGACCCGTGTGTGCGATTCCAAAAGGGATACTTTGCAGCAATCATGTTCACATAGTCCCTAAGAAAGTTTGATAATGGCTTTAAATCATGTGACCCAGGCACATAGAGTGCCAATCCCATTTGGCGTGCACTGTATGGAAGGTAAAATAAGTGAGCCTTTTCAGGATCCCTGGTGACAAATTGCTTATTTTCCTCCATTAACTTCATAAACCATCCTTCAGAAGCATAAATTCCCTTAAGGGGTGGTTTGTGAAAAATAGGCCTTGATCCATCACGGTATATATATACTTTAAGAGTCATTTCCATCAATTCATAGCTCCTGAAGTTGAGACACAATATTGTTTCAAGATGGTTTTCGATACAGATGATGCTTTTCACATACCAAAGGTACAGTACAACCAAAGACAATCCATTCATCAACAATTACCGAGCTTGATGTAATTTTGATAAAGAGTTGTGAAGATCATAGTATCAAATGCTTATTTTACCAGGTAAAGGGATTATTTTCTTGTATTTAAGGAAGCAATATCCATTTGCATATGCATGATGCCATCATAAAATTACCGAAACTGATAGGTTCTAAGGACATCTATAATGTCTTTTATCTTGTAACTCATCGTTCTATTAGAAAAGCAATATTACAATTTATTTTTCTACATAAAACATATTCCAAATGTAATCAACTTATTGAAAACATAATCAAACTACACAAGACCACTATTTAAGAACCATGAGAATATCATCAGACTAGTCTGTGAAAAATGAAAAGGCAACCCAAATTTCAAAAAACAGGTCAGCAAAAGGAAATCAATCCAAACCATTTTGAAGCTCAGAGTTGTCTTAGATTATGCGCAATGACTCTTGAACCCTTCTCTCAAAAAATGGTTCAACCTTTTATCAATTGAAGATTAAATCTGAATCTCACTAGTTTTTGGGAATTTAACATATTCATTTGTTCATATAGTAATCACAGTACAAAACAAGAAAGCAGGAATTTCTTACTTCAACCCAACCCACATTAGACACATGAATTGTGTTGAGAATGAGCCAACAAGAATTCATTCAAACAAAAACCATACTAGTGTTTGGGTGCAGGAAACATCCATCTGTCATAAAAAACAATAAATGGAAACACTCTTAAGTCAAGCAGTTTCTAACACAGACAAGGTGGTATACGGAAGTAAGATTTTATAAAAGACTAGTAGTTTCCATTATTTTATTTTATTTTGCTTTCATGGAATAATTTAATTAACAGTTTTGTATGGCATCTACAGTCAAACGACAACAGTCATCAATCGAAAGTGTAAAATTTAAGGATTTTTAAACGGAATAAGGAAGGTGTCTCCCTCAAAATGAAGAAGAGAAAACTATGTTGAGGGAATTGGATTACATTCTCACAGTTTAACAACAACAACATCTAATTTCCAAATTGCAAAAGCTTATTTTGCTGAACAATATTTGTTCAAGCATGTATTGCAATCTGTCTTAGGTGTATCTGCCTGAAATAATTTAATGAGTTAAGATAATAAAGCACTTTGGATTAAATTAAGGTTGTAAAAACCCTTGCTCACTTTAGAGCACATTTTCCATCTTTATTCAATCATCTGGAGAAATTCAGATAAATCAATGGACAACACCAGCAATTCATGACATAACTGAGTAACAAGAAGGTGAATAAGTCTGCATAGTAAAAAAAATCTAAGTACCTTTTGAAAACAGAAATATTCCTAAAAATAGGAGCATAAAGATCAGGATCTTCATTAACTGAAGGGGCATGATCGATCTCCCTCTTTGCTAGCACAAGGGCCTCGTTAGGTGGCAACAGCCATATGTGTTTCTGAAATATATATACATATACATTCAGAAAATTATTGGTGGTTTCTCTCCTCATCATACTTTAAAATCAAAAAATCAGTTTTCAGTCTCATCAACTTCTACCTGCTTAGAAGGAACATGCCTTTGAGAGGATAAAGACATTCCACCTTTCGTCACATCAGCGAGATTTCTGTCCTTTTTATTTGCAGTTCCAGAAGTCTTCTTTTGAACTCGGGCTTCTAGTTTTGTATTCTCTTGCTCAACTGAGAATGATTCGATTAACTTGCTAGACTCGTCAGGTGAAATAACTGAGTTAGTAGGACTGAGGTGAACCTTTTGAGGTGTCCCCCCTTTGAGAGATTCCCCGGATTGTAGGGAACTACTAGAGGATTGGAAAAATGAATAATCATTTCGGTGATCAGAACCAAAGGGTCTGTCAGGTAGAACTAAATAAGTATGCACAAGCGTCTGAAACGCAAAAGCAGATACAGTCAAAATAGCCACCAGAACAAAGAATCTTCGCCAAATACTTTTGTTCCCAGAGCAACGCCATAACGACTCTAGAATCCGGATGAAAGTAGTAGTTTGTTGGAAGACCTTCATCTCATTCCTCAATGCTTTCACGAATGGCACCACCAATACCAAATTCTAATCCCTCTTTAACTTGAAGGGATAAACAAGATAAATTAATAATTAACAACAACAACAACAACAACAATAATATTAATAATAATTACGTGCGAAGAATCAAGCAATACTTACTAACCGATAATCTTTCCTTTTTAAGCATGCAATGCGAAGTGAATCAGGTGAATATCGAGAATAATGCATGGAGTGAAGTGGCGTGAAGCTAATTACGATAAGAACGCGCGGTTTAAATGGGTGTGGTTAAGAGAACAAAATGCTTACCTAATTCAGACGATGGATCGGAATCTGGTAAAGTCCGGCGCCGATCTCAGGGTACATTGACGGGAATGTCCAACAACTCGGAACGGAACCGCTTTGGCTGATTAACTGTTACGATTTTCCACGGTGCTGATTGCCGAATCAGGGCAAGAACAAAGCCTTCTTGTTCCATTCGCAGTCAACTACTATTTTCCCTGATTTTTATATTTAATTTAAGAAACAAAAGAACATTCTGTAAGAACTCTTTTTTGTGATGAAAGTTACATTCTCTTACTAAATAAGGTGAGGTGAGGTGAGACCCACCTTGCATTACGAGTTAAAATTCATTCTTATTTTGTGGAAAATAAAATCATTTTCATCATTTGTTTATTTATTTATTGAAAAATGTTTTTGTTGTTTTAGGTGGGATCAAATTCGTGCTTCCGTTGTATTTTTAAAAAGTTTTTGTTTCATTCTATAAATTTAAATTAGTATCATTGTGATTATTATCGCATTCAAAATAATTATTCTAAAATTAATTATAAGATCATATGACAATAGCAAATTTTTTTTTTCTAAAATCTCACTTAAGATTTTTTTTCTCTGGATTCCGTATAATCTTGTAGGAAGACGTGTTGTACAGATGTTTATTATTAAGATTTAATAATATATTTTCAATGAATTGTATTAATTTTTACTTTAATTACAACATCTACATTAATGAGTTTCGAATCAATTCGAGTATATTTTTAAAGAATTAATAGAATATATCAAATCATTATAGCAAATCGTATCTTTTACCTTTGCTTCCAATTTTGTAGATGTTGAGTTTTTTTTAAACTTAATTTGGAAAAAGGAAAGACTTTTAAGGAAAGTTAGATAAAGTGCTTATTATTTTGGAGGGAATGTTAAATTCATTTGAGTTGCTATATTTTATAGATTAAACAATAATTGTTTTTTTTTTTCATTCATAGATATTTTTATGACCATAGTAGTGGATTGTGTGATCATTCATAGATATTTTTATTAGGTGATCAAGTGTAAAATCTTATTATAACTTAATAAGTTGATTTTACTTTAAAAAATCAATAGAAAAACAAAATGTTTGTGCTATTTTTAAGAGACGGAATTTAAATGAGGATGAATTGAATTATTTTAAACTTTTGTAAAATTTATATTAAAACATTCAATTTCGTGTTGCTTTGAATTTTATGTATTAAGATTACTTTGTTGTGAGAAATGCACAAATCATTTTTTATGAATTTTATTATTATTTATTTTTATTTAAAACTTATGAGTTTTAAATAATCTATATCTTATCATGTGTGTTTGTTATGTGTGATATTGTATTGTTTGGTCATGCTATGTATTTCATGCTAGTAAAAGATTGTGGTGTTGGAGAGAGAACAACTTTAAGGTTGGTCAAAAAAATTATGTATGTGGATAGTGGTATAGGTAGAGACAATAATGTGATGTGTTAATGTTTTCTTAATCTTATTTTGAAATACCACTTGTAATCCTTTTTTTTAAGAATTGTACATTATATTATGAACTATATACCATACTTATGTCTTTGGATATAATAATGTACTTGTCTCTTAGTAGTATTTGTAATTCTATTGGGTTGGCAAAAATAAGCATCAAGAGTTGGTATAAAATGATTAAAAGAAATATTTTATTAATTTAGTTTATTTTTTCAAACATTATAATATGTAATGTATGATTGTCGGGTTAGCTAATGGACCAAGCGCGATCATCCATCAATAAAGCAACCGACTATTCTGAACAATAATCAATGGTAATTAATCAAAGCATAAAAGTTATTTATTGGTAATTAATAAGAAAATAATAATAATTAATGGGTCAAGTTTAATTAGAGATCTATAAATATAGGTTTGACATTGAAATAAATGATACTTTTAAATAATTTATTTTTATTACAAAATCGTTGAGTAAAATCATTCACTTGAGTGTTGGAGTACTTCCTATAGGTAACTCTCGGGCATACTGAACGGTTCAAGGACATGTACAAATTATTTGGTGATCATAAGGAGCATAAGACACTTAAGCAAGAAGACAAATCTTTGACCATAACCGAAACATAATCACTTATAACCACTAAAAGTTTTAAACTTGTTGTATTATATTAAAATAAGTTTTTAATAAATTAAAATAACTCTATCTTTACAAAGATTTTAAACTTTTATGTTTTAAGATAAGTTAATGAATTTAAACTCTTATGTTTTAAGACGCGAGTTAATTGATTAATTTAATAAATAAGTAAAATTGACATGCTAAAACACAATTTTTAAAACACTTCGAAAGAAATGTTTGAAATCAATATAATTATCTTATTTTAAAATTATTCTACATTATATCAAAACATAAGTTTTTAGAATCTTTGCACCGTTGAGAAAGAGACCAGACAAAATTCATGAAACTTTCTTTATACAAATTGTGATATTAATAGAGAAATAGGATGTTATCAACTCTGAAAACCAATTTTATAGGGTTTCATGGATTGTTTACTCTCACGGTTGAGTATTTGTAAAAACTCTAATTTCAGTGAGAGTTTATTTAATGTGGCTAACTATTTCTTGGAATGAATAACTATAAAATCAATTATATACATTTTTTCTCCTCTTTTTATTATTTTTTTATTAATATTTTT